AAGACAGAAAACTGTACTTGAACAACCAATAAATAAATTTTTAAAATAAATAAATAAAATGTTTGAAACTTTAAGATTAATTTAATCACCCAAAGTATTAATATTTAGTTAAAGGAGAAAAATGTGAAGAGTTGTTGACATTGCAATAGCCCTGGCTGGTGTAGCTCAGTGGATTGAGCGCGGGCCTGTGAACCAGTTGATCGCGGTTCAATTCCCAGTCAGGGCACATTCGTGGGTTGCAGGCCAGTTCCCAGCAGGGGCCAGTTCCCAGCAGGGGGTGCACCAGAAGCAACCATACATTGATATTTCTCTCCCTCTCTCCTTCCCTTCCCCTCTAAAGATAAATAAGTAAAATCTTTAAAAAAAAGAGTTGTTGACATTGCAATATTATATGAGAATTATATGAAAAGATAGTAATAGTTCAATGGAACCATTTTTTATTTGATATTTAGCATTATTTTAACAAGGTGGTGGCAGTTGAAGTGTTTCTGGAAGTGCTTTCCCATGGCATCATTAGCATGAGAGATAACTGATTTTGAGTTCAGCAGTTAACCATGACAAACTGTTTGCTTATACAAATATGAGAAGTAACTACCCATCACCCATGAAGAAAACTGTTAGGTCACAGAGATTGGTTAACAACGCAAATTTTTAAATAAGTTCTTCAGGCATATCACTAGCCAAGGAACATCTTTCAAAAGCAACTATTTCCTGGGAAGGAAATCAAGACTAGAATGCCAGTGCCCTACACACAATATATAACTTACATACCAAATAAGTCAAATAAGATTGGGAGGTCACGGATGGAAAGCTATCATGATTGCAGTGTGCTTTTAGAAAGCTAAGGGAGAGGATGGCTTCCATACTTAGAATTAATTTCTAAACAGATGGGATCCCAGCATAATATGTGGGCAATGTTAAGCCCTCCTGACCTAGAAACCTGAAGAATCCCTGATCAAAACAGAAACAAAAGTAGCTAGAGTCGTCTTGTGGTGTGATCACTAAGTGTTCTGCTGAAGCTAAGCAGAGAGCTAGCTTCACTTTGCACTGAATAGGCCACTGAGCTGAATTACCTCATCAGTCCTTCAATTCTCCTTCCTTTATGGTCTTCCTGAAAGTCTGGGGCTGGGAAACTGAGGACTACATTTCCCACAATCCCTTCAAAAGCAACCTGGGCTAGGCTCCACCAAATATGGTCACAACACTGCAATACCAAGCTCCAACAAAATATGTTCTTTTAGTCACAGATTTAGTTTTGGAGGGGCCTTTGCACTTACCCTGAAAATTGCTAGCTTTGGTATTGCAGTGTTGTGACCTTTAGCAGTGGTTTCCTGTGGTTTTTGAAACTTCGCGCTGAGGATTTTGTAAGATAAAATTTCCTGTAATAAACCACTTCCTGCTTTAATTACCCAGAGGGCTTTCTGCTTGATATCTGATTTTAAAGCCTCCATCTCCTTAAATTCATTTAATCCTGGGCAGAATGACATTTGGGGGAGTGGGATAATAATACCTTACAGTTGTATTTGTCTTCCAAAGTAGTGAAACATGAAGAATGAAACATTTACAAGAAATTTGCTGAGCAAGTAGATAGAAAAAATGGAGAAAGTAAAATAAATTACATTTCGTCAGAAATAATCACAGACTTAGGAAACAAATAGGAAAGATACACACAAACCCAGAGATAAAGGAAACAAAATTTAAAACTTTTTAAAACAATCAGGATATTAAAAATTAATTCAATTTAATAATATATAAAAGAGAACAGCAAAACAAAAGCAAAATATAAAATAAAAAAGAAGAAATGTGCACCCAGAAACAGCCAGAGAAAAGATATATAAACATACAGAGCGACACGCATCCCAAAGAAGCAGATGCAGGCACAGAAGAGCAGTATCACAAAATACAAAATCATGGTGAATCAGGATTTTAACTGGTTTTTAAATTTTATTATTCAATTACAGTTTATATTCAACATTATTTTATATTAGTTGTAGGTGTACAGCATAGTGGTTAGACAATCATATACTTTACAAAGTGTTCCCCAATACTTCCAGTACCCACCTGGCACCACACATGGTTATTACAATATTATTGACTATATCCCCTATGCTGTACTTTACATCTTTGTGACTGTTTTATAACTACCAATTTGTGCTTCTTAATAATCCCTTTATCTTTGCCATTCAAACCCCCAAACCCTCTCCCCTCCAGCAACCACGTCTGTTCTCTGTACCTATGAGAGTAGTTTTTTGCTTGTTTGTTTTGCTCTTTAAATTCTACCTATAAGTTAAATCAAATGGCATTTGTCTTTCTCTGAGGGGCTTATTTCACTTAGCACAATAACCATAGGTCCATCCATGCTGCCGCAAGTGGGAAAATCTCATTCCTTTCTATGATAGAGTGTGTTCCATTCTATGTATGTACCGCATCTTCTTTATCCATTCACCTCTTGATGGGTACCTGAGTTACATCCCTATCTTAGCTATTCTAAATAACTCACTCTGCAATGTGTATATATTCTTTCAAATTAGAGTTTGGGGGTTCTTTGAATAAATCCCCAGAAGAGGGTCATAAGGCATTTCCATTATTGACTTTTTGAGGACTTCCCATACTGTTTTGTGTAGTAGCTGCACCAGCAAAGCAGGAAAGTCCCCTTTTCTCCACACCCTCATCAGCACTTGTAGTTTGTGGATTTATTGATGACAAGTGTGAGGTGATATCTCATTGTGGTTTTAATTTGCACTTCCCTGGTGATTAGTGATGTTATTTTTTCATAGGCCTACTGGACATCTGTATGTTCTCTCGGGAGAAAAGTCTATTTGGGTCCTCTGTCCATTTTTAAATCAGATTTTGTCATTTTGGTGTTAAATTTCATGAGTTACTTATGTATTTTGGATATTGACCTCATTGGTTGTATCAATATTAAATAATTTCTTTCATTCAGTAGGCTCTTTTCATTTTTTAATATTTATTGAATTTATTTGGGTGACATTGGTTAATAAAATTATATAGGCTCCAGGTGTAAAAATCTATAGTACAATATATCATCTGTATATTGTATTGTGCGTTCACGTCACTAAGCTTGTCTTTTCATTTTGTTGATGGTTTCCTTCACTGTGCAAAAACTTTTTTGTTTGATGTGGTCCTATTTGCTTATTTTTCCTTCTGTTTCCTTTGCTGGAGGAGATATATCAGAAAAAAACAGTGCTAAGAAAAATGTCTGAATTTAAATTAAGAACAAACTGACAGTAACTAGAGGGGAGGTGGGAGGGGATAATGGGGGGCGGGAGAAGGGTCATCAAGGAACATGTATAAAGGACTCATGGACAAAACCGAAATGGGGTAGGATCAAGGGTGGAAAGTGAGGATGGCTGTGGTGGGGGGGTGGATGGAGAAAACTGTACTTGAACAACAATGGAAAATGTGAAAAAAGAAATAAAATTCAGATAGCTAATAAAAAAAAGAAAAATGTCTGACATTTTATTGTCTATGTTTTCTTCTAGGAGTTTTATGGCTTCAAGTCTTACATTTTAAGTCCATTTTGTCAACAGTTTTATCACAATTTAGACAATGAAGAAAGTTTTCCAGACTATTTCAATTTCTCATTCAACACAGAAGTCCCTCACATAACTGCTCTGATGGGTAGCACCAGAGACTTTTCCTTAACATTTCTACAGATAGGAGTTGCTTTTATTTCAAAACAGCCTATTCTGTGTTTCCAATCCAGATTATATATCCTTTCCTTTACCTCTCCTCCCCTTATCCTTCCTCCTCCTCCTTCTCTGACTCCTTTTTCTCTTCCTCTTTCTTTCTTCCTTCCACCAACAATCCTATCCTTCCAACTAGAGATATCCCCTTGGATGCATTATGACTCAACATGACAAAGACATTGCACTTTGTTAAGAGAGGCAAACTGCAAGAAAGACCAACAGGTGTACTTTATAGGAAAGATGAGGGATAATTATGAACTGCAGGAAAGACCAACAGGTGTTCTTGGTAGGTAAAGACGAAGGAGAATTATGCACAGGAACTTACATGAAAAGAAAACCTGATGTGGGAGAGGAGATATAAAAAATTAGTTTCACTTGATAGTAAAGAAGCACTATTGATGAGGGGCCATAAGCTTTGGGTAGAAAAGAAAATCGGTGGTAATTCCTTCCATATGCATCTATCTCCATGAAACCACATTTCACCCTAAAATAGGAGAGGAGCATGGCACTTACATCAGAAAACATTGTAGAAGTTAAGGTAGAGGAACTGAGCAAAAACAAAAAAGGACTCATGGACATGGACAACAGTGTACTAATTGCGGGGGGAAGAAGGGTATGAGGGGGTTAAATTGTAATGGAAAATGCAATGAAAATTTAAAGAAAAAAGAAAGGAAACAGTGTCATTTGGACAGAAGCTTTTAGAATGTTCAGATGACTTTGCTGTGTGAACACCTTGGGTGGAGACAGGAAAGGCTCACCTGTGGTTCTGGGTTAAGTCATTTTTTAGACACATGGGGACCATGAGCTTTTTTCCCCCCTTGTAAAAGTGACTACACGTGTTGCTTTAGTAGAATGAGACATCATAACTCATTCCCCTAGGATTTCACCTGGAAGTAAGAAACTTGAGGTCCGAATTTACTAAAAGCAACTGAGTTTACAGTAATATTGTAATAACTATGTATGTATGGTACCTGGCGGGTGCTAGATTTGAAGAAAATAATTTCTTAAATAATATGGATGTCTAGCCACTGTGCTACATACCTGAAAATAATATGAAATGTCAACTGTAATTGCAAAATGCCAAATGTCATTTAATAGTATTAAATGTCAATTTTAATTGCAAAATAAATAAATATATAAATATGATTGTGTGGAAGAAGCTATAAGTTAAACAATAAATTTCTGGCAACACAACTTTTCTGAGAGTCAAGATTTTTATTCTCTTTATTTTCAGTATAAACATGGACAACCAGGGTCTCAAAGCCCTTTTCTATCTGGGTCATGATGTCACAAGTGATTGTTTACAGCCTCAGCCACTCTCAAACTGACGGCCCAGGGGTACAAGCCTCAGAATTCCTGGGCTCCCTTTCTATTCTCACAAATAGTGAGGCATCTTTTCCCATTTCCTCTTCCTTCCCTCCCAAAACTTCTCTCCGTGGTGACTCAAGGGAACAGCCTGAAATAAGAAGAAAATTGTTTGATTATACCTGTGATGTAGCAGAATGACAAAATCCATTTTACACAGCAGAAACAATGGAAGAGAGACAAATAGTAACAATTTCTGTACATTAACAATTTCTAAACACTCAGAACAATTCCATCAGAACAGGACTATGTGACTCTCGACTTACAGTCTTGGAAGTACTTGTCATAGAGATTACTATTTCCTAAGGAATGTGCAAGAAATGTTTTAAGCTCCAAAATATTTATTTTTCAGGACAGATCAATCTGTTATTTGTGACTTTGTCTTAATTCCCAAAGTATCTTTGCAAGAAAAAGATTCATGGACATGGACAACAGTGTGGTGATTGTAGTGGAAAGAGGAGTATAAGGGGGTAAATGGTAATAGAAAAATACAATGAAAATTTAAAAAATAAAAATAGTGTTATCTGTACAGAAGCTTTTAGAATATTCAGATGATTTCCTGTGTGAACACCTTTGATGGAGACAAGAAAGGCTCACCTGTGGTCTTGGGTTAAGTCATTTTTTAGGCACATGGGGACCATGAGCTTTTTTCCTCCCTTGAAAAAGTGACTACACGTGTTGCTTTAGTAGAATGAGACATCATAACTCATTCCCCTAGGAGTTCACCTGGAAGTAAGAAACTTGAGGTCCAAATTTACTAAAAGCAACTGAGTTTACAGTAATATTTTAATAACTATGTGTGGTGCCAAATGGGTGCTATATTTTTCAGGGAAATTACTCCTTAAATTACATGGATGTCTAGCCACTGTGTTGTACACTTAGGTTTGAAGGGCAAACAGGGGTCTTAAGAGTAGCAGCAGAGGTGAAGTGTAGCATGAATTGGGGAAGTGGAGACATATTTACAAGTGACTGAGAGTTGCAGTGACTTCATGTGAAATGTGGGGCAATTCACTTAACTTTTCCAACCACAATAATACATTATTCTCATGTTAAATTACATATTCTTATTTCTATAATGGCACTGCTGAGCTAGACATTCTGGTCGTTTGCAATAAACCACATACACTTTATTTTATGGGCCTCAAAGCAACACAATAACAACCTTTTGTAGAGCTGGCATTTTTCTTTTGTGCGAGGGAAACCTGGTCAGACCATCTATAGCTTATATTCACAGAGGTGAGGATGTTGTGGGCACAGAGAACCCAAGCACCCAGCATGTCCCCTCCTTATGATGTCAAAATGGAGCCACGGAATAACAAAAAGGAGGGCAGAGCAACCTAAACTAGAGAGGCAAGTCACCTCATGTACACAATCTGCAGGAATTATGGTCAACACATGGTCAGAATGTTCCCCAGAGGAATGGACTGTCGGTCTCCCCAGGATGTTTGCATGATGATCTCATCTCTACAAGGCCCTTCTAACATTTCAACAAGTGCCTAAAGAGTCACCTTATTTGTCACTATCAAGCATGAAAAACTGGTAGTTTAGTCATTGAGTCATTTGAGAGGGAACCTTGATTGGAAGAGAAACATCAACAGTGTAGATGCAACGAGAAACTTTTCCAGCTACAGGAGGCCCTAGATTATAACCCTCTGTTTGTTATGGAGTTAATGAGGACTCCACAAACTTCTGCTTGAAAAATGTTCTCCTTGGAAGTCTCCACAGTCTTAGGCCAAACAGAACAGCAGGAGGCTGCTGTCTCACTGAGATCAGATTTGAGTTTGAGGCTCTAAACTATTTTGCACATGGACCATCAGAGTAAATAAAACAGCCAGCTATGGTCATACAAACCCACAGGTAAAGGGCAAAGAGTACTCACCTGGCCTTCCCAGATGGTCCATTTGTACCTCATTTTCTTTATTCTTATGCACAGCATTACGCAGAAAATACCTGCATCTGCTCAAGACTAAGACAAAGCATACCGAGTCAGAGACAGTCATCTGGAAATGCCCTCATATATTTCCAGATTCTACAGGGTTCCTTTATCCTTATACCTGGGCATCATGTCAGCTCAGGCAGAGTCCCACACACTTCCTCATGCTCCATAGGTAAACCAGGAATGAACTTAACACAATTCTGACCTGTGCCTCCCAGGTATTTTTATCATATATCAGATTCTGATTTCTAAGACCACTTAGGCTTCAATCAAGACCTCAGCCCTGGCTGGTGTAGCTCAGTGGATTGAGCACGGGCCTGTGGACTAAAAGATCGTGGTTTGATTCCCAGTCAGGGCACATGCCTGGGTTGCAGGTCAGTTCCTAGCAGGGGCCAGTTCCCAGCAGGGAGCACACGAGAAGCAACCATACATTGATATTTCTCTCCCTCTCTCCTTCCCTTCCCTTCCCTTCCCTTCCCTTCCCTTCCCTTCCCTTCCCTTCTAAAGACAATTAGAAAAAAATTTTTTAAAAAGACCTCAGAGATTAGAAAAAAGAAGATATTGCTTTGATGTTCTCCACATAATAATGTATACTACTATCTCCTCCCTCCAGATACCCGCTCTCTCATTATAGGTTCCCTATTTCGTAAAGCCCACTATGGCACTTACATTTCTTTATATGTTGGTCTATCTCAAGTAAAAAGGGAGAGACCATGACAAAAAGAAAAAATACAAAGAGCATGGCAAACAGGGCAGAGGACCAAGGTACGCCATTTGGGAATAAACTGACCCCTGGTTCAACCTCCGCCATCGAGACCAAAGACAGAATGTGGAATTCTCTGCCCCAGCTCTTTTATCACCTAGGTGAGCAGAGTGATGAAGTCACAGCTTCAGGCACAATAGGAGTGATGATGGTCTGGGCTGGGATTGGCCAAGCCTCACTGCATGTATGTTATACAGAAGCAAGTAAACTCAGGGAGCTTCACTTCTACCAGAATTCAATGGGACCCAAAATACTAACCCAGCAGGCCAGACCAGAAAGAGGGCAGATTACTACACAGATATTTAGAGTGTGCCTCTATCTGCATCAGAATTATATCCATTCATCTAATGAAATAATGATTTCCCTAGAGTTCACAGCTCAAGAGCCAGTCTTATTAAACAAGATATCTAAGTTGAAGGACCAGAAAAGGACATATTTTCCTAAAGAAAGATTTCAGATCCTTTCCTAGAAGATTTGTAAAACTTTGTCTTTGGGTGCTTATTCATGTCAGAAATATGTATTGTGGATCATGCAATATTGTACCAGTCACAGGTATCAATGGGAAGGGAACAGTTTCTTCTCTAAGGTGGGGGTTATGTTGTCTTTTGAGTAAACAGACTGCAGGTAGTGAAGTTGCTCTGGATAACGCTATTGTCTGAATAACACCTTATTTTTAACCTACCACATGCCCATCTAACAATTTTCAAACAATCTAGATCAATAGATTCTCCCCCATTCACAAGACCACGTGACAGCAGAAGTTGTCTAATGCTCCAAGTCACTTTTGCTAGAGATTCCCAGCCCACTGCCACAGGAAACACTCTGTCCCTCCATCAATTCCTGGTCTGAACTCAACCTTCTCTTAGGTGACTGGAGCAGACCAATGACAAGATATGAATGCACGACCATGGTCTTTGTTAGTTCCCAGTATTTGTTGCATATCATCCCCAGCAGTACACTTTACTCCTCTCTCCTCCATGGAGAGGTCTCATTCCATATTTGGGTTCCCGGCATGGGAGAGAGGTGACAGCAGAAATGTGAAAAAGCCTTTCCTGTCCTCTTCAGTACATCTTTTCCTGTTTCTGTGCTCCAATCAGGTGCTGTAACCTCTCACCTGCAACCCTTTGCTCTTTTGAACCTGTTTTTTTTTTGTGTGGATCATTGTTCAAATTAATATTACTGGCAGAAAACAAACACTAGAAACTTCTATATTATCATCTTTCTCAGAGGTATAAACCACGCATTTTTTGTGTAGAAAATTCTTATACTTTCTTGAGTAGAAATTTAGGTTTCTGAAACTGGGCTACAAAATTTATGTTCTTTGGTATATATTATATATCTAGTATATCATTACATAGAAATTGTCTTTTTTATTTTTTTATTTTGGAAAAATTATAGCTTTACAGCAAGTCACACAGATGATATGTTTTGGTTGTTTACAGTTTTTGGCTATTACAGATAAAACTGGTATGAGCAATCGTATACAGATTTCTGTGTAGAGATAAGTTTTTATTTCTCAACCATGAATGTCCAAGAGTAGCTGGGTAATATGGTAAATGTATGTTTAATTTTTTTGGAATCACAAAACGAGCCTGTCATTTTAGATGACTGAGTTAATTCAGATATATTATCTAACTAAAGTGGAGAAATTATAATGAGAATTATAAAATCTTTTAAACTGGACAAAAATGTAAACATAAAATTTGTGGGAAGACTACATAAACTATGGAAGGAAATGTATATACATAATTACATTGTCTTACCTCACAATAAATTGGACCTAAAGAAAGTAAAAGCATGAAAAAGCTAATGGAGACAAAAGTAGTAAAACAGAAAACATACCTACAATAGAGTAAATCATTAAAGCCACCTAATGCTTAGTAAAGATTAAGGAAACTGCAAAGCCTCCAGCAAGACTGCTACAGGATACAAGTAAGCACCAATTGCTAATATCAGGAACGAAAGAAGTTACACGACTGCAAGTTTCACAGATGTAAAAATGATGAAGGTATAATAAACATTATACCAGTTTAGATAAAGTGGGCAATTCCTTTAAAAAATTACAAAAATTGTCACAGGAAGAATTAGAAGAGCTGAATTGTTTTATATGTACTTTATAAACATCCCCACGAAGTAAACTCCAGGCTCACATGGCTTCAGCAACTATTTATCATACGTATTTAAATGAGGAATAAAAGTACTTTTAAACAAACACTTGCATGGTGTAGAACCATGTTTTATGAAGCCATCATAACCTTGATACAAAGAGTGAGGAAAATTTTATGAGAAAAGCAAACCCTCCCGTAAACATAGCTGTAAAAGGCTAAGCAAAATATTCTCTCACTGAGTCCAGTAGTCCAGTAGTATTCATGAGGGTGATGTATCATGACCAAGTAAATCTTTATTCCAGGAATGCAAGGGTGATTTAACATTTGAAAATTCAATCAATGTCTCAACCTCTCAGTTTGACTGTGAGCCTAAAACTGCTCTATAAAATGAAATCTATTAAAAACAAATTCTTCAAAAAAACAAGCAAATTGAGACTCCAATGCTGTATGAAAGAGCATTCTCAAATGTTTGGCTTCTGGATCCCTTTACATGCTTAAAAATTATGAAGAAGAGCCCAAAAGCTTTATTAGAGTAGTTTATGTCTGTCAATATTGACATTAAAATGTTAAATTAAATGTTTAGATTAAATTTAAATAAACATGTAAACATGTATTTATGAATTAATCTAGAAATAATAGTAGTCTTAATTACATGTTTGCATAAATGGCATATTTTAATCAAAAAACTATACTTTCAAAACAAAAATTATGAAGTTATTGTTTTACATTTTCACAAATTTCTTTATTGTCAGGTCTAATAAAAGACAGCTAAATTCTTCTATCTTCTTCTCTATTCAGTCCTTTATGACGTCACACATCATGTACCCTCCCAAAAACTCCTTTGGACACTTATGCTGTAAAATAACATATTTCCAGTAGAATGAATATAAAAGGCCCCACAGTAGCATGCCTGTGGTGTAGAAATTTATAAACCACTTTAAAAATGGTTTGTTGAGTTCAACGAAATATGTACATTCTATAGCCCAGCAGTTCTTCTTCTGAGTATATTCCTAAGAAAAGTTTTCATCAATTTTGGGTAACATTTGGCTGATATAAATGTCTTTATATATGTTCTGGTAGGGAAAATCATTGTTTTGCTTCCCTATTACTTCTAACATCAGCTCTACTTAAAATAGCCAAAAACTAGAAATAATTCAATGTCTATTACAAATAGAACAAATAAATGAATTTCCATAGTCTTGCATAGGGTATTAGATGGCAATTTAAAAGAAATACTGACATGTAGCAACATACTGGAATCTGACAGATATAATATATTGTAAAAAAAGCCAGGCAAGGAAGGACTCTCACCACCTAAACCACTCAAAAATAGGCAGATCGAGTCTAGGATAATAAGAGGCCAACGTAGTGATAGGAGAGGCAGGCATGAGAGAGCCTTCAGTGCAGAAAATATTCTTTTTCTGCTATCTATATACCACTGCTGAGTTATACACTTCATATTGTGAAGTGTACTCTGTGTAAGTTTATAACTCTAACTCACTAAATAAGCCAAGACTTCTTCCTCCTATTTTCTGAGGTTTCTATTTTTTTTTGTACAAAACAGTAATTATTGCTTGAGAGTTTGATGAAACTTACCAATGAGACCATCTTGGCCTGTGTTTTAATTAGAAGACTGGTCTTTGATAACACTTCAAATTCCATTATACTCTTTCTTGAATTCAATTTTACTGTTTCTCCTTATGTTAACACCAATATTGTATATTTTTTGTAAAATTGTAGCTTATATAACGTATTTCCCTATGACTTAAGAATGCTAATTTTCTCTACATACAATTCCACATACAATGTTCTTGTTTCTTTTAAGATATTACTTTGTTTAATTACATGTTTGAACACACAACACACTATACAAATGATGTATTATAGACTTGCACACTTGAAACCTGTATAATATTATTAACCCATGTCACCCCAATAAATTTAATTTAAAAAAGGAAACACCATTACTGAGAACTTTAGAGTGAATCTGGTTCTTTCTGAGCAGAGCATATGCCCCTTTTACTGGATACTTGGTATTTTTGTTAATTCCTCTACAGTTTGTCTCAGTATAAACATTTTTCCTTATTACTCAAGTGACAATCTGCAAGTCCTCCCAAAACAAGATCATACATACTCTTTTGTAAATTGTGTGCAATTTCTACCTACTGATTCTTTAGCTCTTTCTTTTTCTCAACTTTTTCGTTTCTTACTTCAGGGATCCTAGCTAAGTTCAGGCCAGTGCTTTGCTTCTGTCTTCTATATTTCTTAGCATTGTATATTTTCCACATCTGTATCTTTTTGTCTTGTCTTCTTGAAAAATTATTCAAATTGATTTTCATCTCACCAATTTGTTCTTCATCTACATTTATACTCTTTGATTCTTAATTGTTTTCTTTAACTTCTCAGCTTGTAGCACTTTTGAGCTTGCCTCATATTAATCACAGACACAGTGAATAGCTTAGATTGTTCCTACAGATTTCTGTGGCTATAAAACATGCAATGAAATAAATTGTGGAAAATGCAAGATCAGAACTTTCCACCATTATCAGTTTTTCCCCTTTCAGCTCTCTCCCAGGGTGTTTGCTGCCCTTCACCAACCTCTGCCCAGCCCAGCACTCTCCACTCACCAGTTACATCTCGGTTTCAGTCTACTCAGGGAAGGATCTCACTCCGATATGGTTAATTCTTTAGATACTTCTTTCCCTTTTATCTCTATTATATCTCCAGAATTGATTTTGACAATGGCAGCCCCTGCTGGCTCACCATTTTGGCAAAAATATATTGTCATAAGATATAAAACAAAGTGCTCATTGAAGAAGAAATATTTTGAAAACATAATATAAATGTTTTCAAACTACATGTTTGAGCCAAACTACAAAATATTATCAATTAGTACACCAAATTCAAATTTCTAAAACTAATTATTCCTTTATTTCTATGACTGATCAACAGTGTGACTGCTATTTTAAAAAATTCTACACATAACTGCAGATCTTTTAGAGCAATCTAAGATGTATGAGGTACGCCACAAATTTCTACCAAGCAGAGATCAGCAAGGCCTCTGATGTTACTGGTAATCAGATATTACCAAAGATGCAGGATGTTTTTCTGTTCATCATTGCCCATTTGCAATTGTAACCATTATGATGTATAACAGGAAGAGAAATTTCTCTATATTAAAAAAATAATAACAGCAGATACATTTGCATTCAGGGAAAGGAAGTGGCTTGTGGGTAATAGTAATAAAGTTAATATTCTATGTGTCTATTTTATTTTAGCAGACCCGCCAGTGCCCAAAGATTATCCTTAGACTCATATTATTTACAGTAAGCTTACTATGCAGATAAGGTCCCGTGAGTACCTACTAACTAGTCTAATCTGTTTATATGCTGAAACTCTGTTATGTCCTTATATGCCATTCAACTGTCCCTGCTAAACCAAAGCACAAAGGTGAACCAAAATGCAAATAGGAACAATGAGCAAGTTCTGACTAGTGGGGTCAGATTGTGCACAAAATTACCTCAAATATGAGAATCAGGGAACCAAAAGATGGCAAGGCAGTGACTGCTAGATGAACCAACCTTTTCTCTGATTCCTGCCCATGAATCAAGCATGCGGTCTCAAGTGAACAAAATTCTTCTACTTTGTTTTAGTTGAAGGAAGCATTTTTTACTGACTTACTGTCCACTTACTTCCCTATACCTGAGGCAAGAAGGTCAATTTCAAGAGACCCAAGGGACGCATTTCAAAACTTGTGAAGAAGAGAAATTGGGAAAGGTCCGTGGAGAGAGGAAAGAGTATGTACAAAGTAATGGTGACAGCTGGGTTCAAATGGAAAGAGCAATTCCTTCGAACAGAAGGGTTGGAGAGAACAGTAGTGGAATATTAAAATTGGGCCACATTTGTTATTTACATTTTGTGCCAGGCTACATTCTTTCCTCATCCCCCTTTAACACTAAACTTCAGTAAATGTTGACTACATAAAATAAGCTTTTGATAGCAACGTTTTGGAAGAGTAAGAAGCAGCAAAATGTCCACACATTAAATGGTAAAATGGATCAGAGAGAAAATAAAATGCATAGAAACCAAAGAAAGAAAACAGAGGATTCAACATAAACACACTTTCAGAAAATGGTAGAAATATAATAACCCAAACACAGTCAAGAACCATCAAAAATACTAGGGACAGGGCACAGAACTAATGACTCACATCACTTTTATTTTTTTATTCAAAGAACTGAGAATTTAGACATGTTATATGTGGATGGTATATTTGTTCTCAGTAGATGTGTGAACTTTAATAATTTTCCCAGGAAGTCCTACAGGTTCGTGAGTCTGACCATATTCTGTATAATATGTGATCCTATGTATCCTAACACAGCAGTTCAGAAATAAAGGACCTCGTTTCCTTCCCCTTCCACTGATAGCCACACATTAGAATAGAATTTGGGGATAACTGTAGGTATTTTTTGCCTGTAAGTGTTTGCCACTTGACTTTCTGTACTCCTAGCTTGGATCTAGGGAGCTATTTAATTTCTTCACCATAAGGAAGCGACTCAGAGATAGTGAAATAGGGAGCAATTTTACAGAGCGTATATAACTGCTTATGAGAGAGCTATTTTCCAAGATGTTATGCACCAATATTTCCTACAATGCAGGTTGAAAAGACTATCTGCATTCACCATGGCCATACTGAGGGAACAACATGGTCCCACTCCTAAAGAGTGATCACTACCCCTGACCCCGACCCAGCCTCCAGCATTCCTATTACCCACCAAGAAACATGTTGTTTCTGGTGTTTTTCTATATTAGCCAAAGGAAGTGAGAATGAGGAACCAAAAATATTTTCCCAACTGAAACCTAACCATACTATGGGGTAATTTGAATTGATTTACATTTTAAAAGATCACTGTGCTTGAGGATATAAGACTATCTTCATTTTAATTAACTGTAAAGCACATATTATGTGCTACACACAGTAGTAACTCAACAATGATAAGATAGAATTGGGTATGGAAGTAAGTTGAGAACTAAGAATCTTCACAGCCAAAGCTACAGAGTTAACAGAAAATCATTCTGCTTCCAAGTGATTCTATACCTCCCTGTCCAATTATGCCTCTGAAAAGTGTTAAGATTTATTTTTATTAAGAAAATTCTGTCACATTTACATCTATCTCCATGAAATCAATTTCCATAATCTGTAGGAGAAGAAACTCAATTATGTAAGAAAGCATGATGTAAGTAGGACAGAACATTTCTAGAATATTCAAGTGTTTTCTTGGGAGCAGAGGTCACCTTGGGATCAGAGACACCTCAAACCTGGATCTGGACTCAGCATTTCCCCCAGTCTAACCACAGATCACTAGGGTTTCACCCAAGTGAAACAAATATATATTTGAGTTACAGTGGCTGAGGTATGAATACTATAAAAGCAGTCATGCTAAGTCTTTATGCAGTCAAAAGATGTTTCAATAACACAAATTGGTCTTAAAGGACCAAAGTATTTATTATTGGACAATGTGGATAGAAATGGAACACAAGTCAGCATTATCCAATCAGGACCTAGACTGATATTTTCTTATCCTCCAGTATGGACCCAAAATGTAACAGGACTTTAACACAGGTATATTTGTTCAGAAGACATTCCACTGTCTCCAAGTTCAGCATCCTAACTTCCAACCTCATCATCTTCTTTCAGGAGTTTCTCCTTTCCGAGATCTTCTTTCCTTAAGAAATGTGAAAACCAACTGCAATAACAAAATCAGGGCCTGGTTGTAACTGGGAGCCTAAACAGAGCCATTGGAGGCATCAGAATCATGGGCAAGGTGAAAACAACATTCCTAGGCCCCAGATGAGATCATATCTGCACAACATAAAACATCAGGAAAAGCATTTTTAATACAAACTGTTGTTTTCAGACCATTGCCTAAGAAATATTTATAATAGAGACTGAAGACCTCTGTGAATAGCTATTTTTCAGTCTGCACAAACAGCAGGGACATGAAATTGGAGGAAGAAATAATTGTGAACATCCTACCTTTCCCAATATGATTGGGCTAAATCACAGGAATTTGGTGATGAGAGGGTACAATTTCATTACCTTTTATTTCATGAGGACACTTAAAGACCAGATCCTGAGTTCCCAGATGTTCACAAGGATAATTCTGGCCTTTTCTGAAAGCCCTTTAATGGATATAGCAACTTCAGAGTCTACTGTTTTTCTCTTCCTAAGGGACTGATCACCCTCACATGGAGTATGACAGCAGTAGTTTTATTTGGCTTTCCAGCTCCAAAATTCTGTGGAGCAAGGCCAGCTTCATGGACATGAAAGCTCTGCAATAGTGCAGGACCTTATGCGGTTGCCACGTCCCAAGTCTTAATAATTTTTGAACACAGAATCCCCCATTTTCATTTTACATTGGGCCTTCAAAATTATGAGACTAATCCCACCATGGGTCTTAAGGAAATATGGAGTAATTCTCACCCTTTACATCATACCCAATGAAAACATACACTTATTAAACTAACTTAGATATATTAGTAACAACAGGGTATCAAAATATAACCTAATATCAATTTTAACTATATTTCTCAATCTGCCACACCTTAAAATAACCCAAACATCTTTTGATAATATGTGATTATTGTGATTGGGAAAATAAGGTCTCAACATCAAAAGTCTATGTGTGGTTGTAACTATCATGAAGTCTAGTTACCCCCATTCTCCCTAAAGATAACTACTAATAACAGAAATGACTGGGGAAAGTAATTGGTGTAATTAAGAAATATGGGACCACTCTAAAATTGTCTTTGCAGAAAGGATTGATAAGTAAGGACTCAAAGGCATCTCTCCAGGAAATAGGATATTGAACTTCTCTTTCACTGGTCTCTGAGGGACTCTTCTCTGGGCTACACAATTTGTGGAGCTTAGTACAAAATAAAATGCAGAGTCTCTTCTTCAAAAACTATCAATAAGTTCAAGGTGTGACAGGAGAGCAAGAAAGCAAGTGTGAGGTTGGGTGCCCCTTAGAGTGGTGGCTTGTTGCAATGGCAGGGGTCTCATTCTCCTGAAGGTGGTCCTGAGCATGTTCATCTCATTCATTTCCCGTAAATTAACTTCAGGGTGAATTTCAGACACAGAAAACCCTTCATATTTGCATTTGCATTCTAGATAACCTGCCTTCTCTAATAGCAATATCTTTCTCTGATAGAAAGCATGTAGGTAGAGTGGACCTACCCCTATAATGAGGAAAAGATTGTCCTGGATCTAACTGATTTTTTGTGTGTGACCTTGAGAAAATTGCACATTATCTACTTTCAGTTACTTATGAAGTAGTATTTGACTATATAATTCCTATGATCCCTTCAAGGACTGAATTCCAGAGTCTATAATTAAAGGCATTCTGGATAATTGGTAGATACAGCAGCTTCAAAATTTTATAATATTATCACCATAAAACACAAAAATCTTCATAATATTGCAATATATTTCAGTAAATGATATTTCTCAGTCATCACCCACCCTAAAGTTTTACAATTTTCAGAGGAAGGAATTAAGATATACAAATTGCCAGGTATAAAAACAGTCATGGGGATATAAAGTACATAGGGAATATATTCAATAATATTATAATAAGTATGTATTATAAGATGGGTATCAGATGGGTACTATTGGTCTGAAGTTGCAATT